AAAAATTTCATTTTTTCTGAAAAGGTGGTGTCTATTTACTTGTGACCACGCTGTGTATACATAGATAACCATGAAAAGAAAGTAGTTTAAATCACGAACAATATGGAAGTATTTTACAAAGCACAATATTATTATAAATCATGCTATAGACAGGTAAAATATTTTAGAATGAATACACACAGAAAACTCATATGGGTTGATAACTTTAGCTTGTAGTTAAGCATAAATCTGCACAATGGGCTATTTGTGCTCTGCCCACCACGGGTATCGAAATCTGGTTTCTGGCGTTGGAAGTCCGCAGACATACCGCTGTGTCACTGGGAGGCGAGTTCATAACTGACAAGATACTATTCATGTAAAGTATAATATTTAATGTGTTATGTAATAATAAAGGTTATGTTATAGACAGACATTCATTAGATGATCTCCATTTTGCTGACAGTAAGCATTTTTTTATTTGAGAAAGTCAACTGGATCATAAGAGTACTTCTTAAAGACACACATGAAAGTTCTGTTAAATATACCCCCCTCTCTATAACATGCTATGTAAAGGTAAAAAAATGCTAAACCAAATGAAAAACTTAAACCTACTTTTGTAAAAACGTGCAATACTTTATTTATTTAACTAAACTCAATTAGATCCAAAGAAATTTATTTCAATTTAAACCTATTTGAATTTGCAACATAGCAACTCATATCGTATTTCTTTAGCCTTGTGAGCTGTTCTTCAGGGACAGGAAAACCTGTCATTAGTAGGTAAATGTCATTTTGTAAGTTAATCACCATTAAGCATACGTTGATATTCTGTTTTATAATGCTTAAGATGTTACGAACCAGAAAGTATTTTAGGTATAATAACTTTTGAGCGTACTAGAAAAACGGAATGAAAAAAGGAACAGTAATGTCATGCAGCTAATTTTTTTTGTTGGAGGAGGGAGCACAGTCAGAAAACAGAGTCCTTATGTTATCAGTGGTGAGTTAATAATGATAATACACAAAATAATAAGCCGGGTGCCTTTTACTTTTCATGTTATTAAATTTCCATCGTTACTTTGAATAACTTTTTGGTTTTGGATACAGACAAATATTTTGAATGTTTTTTAATCAAATGTCTATAGATGGATTTGAGTTAATTAAGACAATGTCTGGAAAACATCGGGAAGGTGGGGATGTGCCAATCCGTGGCCTATAGGCACTACGCCACAATAAATAAAAATTCAATTAAGAAACAGTCGAATAAAGTGTTTGTGAAAACCCTGGCCTAAATGTGAGTGTTTGTTGCCTCGCTGTGGTTACTAGTAGTAATATACGCACTAATTGTTCATAGAAGAAACATTTACCTTAGTAAAACGTCAGCTGACTCCAACTGAATTTAGTTGCATTTTACTAGTTTTTTTGCATATAAGTTGTACTTTATAGTGCTTTTAATGCAACATTTTCATAACACATACTACTGATTCTTTTAAAGTGTATTCTATGTTGCTTTTAATGCAACATTTTTCATAACACATTATTTTGCTTCTTTTTATACATACACACAAGAAAAAAACTTCAGATTAAGATATTTTAATATTTCGGTGTTGTCCTAGGAGAGAACTATTAAAATAGCAATTAATGGTAACACAAGCCTACGAACTTAAAATTCATAAAAATTGTTTTGTTTTAATAATGGATTTTCCATAATTCAGCTACGTAGATTCCGAAAATAATATAAATTCTTTTTCTGTCACGTAAGGATTTTTACAAATTGGGAAGAAAAAAAACTTACTTAGATAAAATTATTATTCCGTTTACCACAATGAACATTTCTTATTATTATGTTTGTTAACAAAAATACAAACAAACTTAAATCTACGTTT